GGTCGTTTAAACATGATCTAGAACGCGCTTTGATGGCGTCGCGCGTATGCAGGCAGCGCCACAGGTGAGTCAGGCAAGATGCAACCTCCCAGCTTAAACCCGTCTCGGGTTTAACGCCCACACTAGCAACGCGGGTGGTCACCAGTCTTTTGTAGGATGAGATCTTTTCCGTGCTTTTCCGTTTCTCTTCATCTTTTCTTCTCGACATCTAGAAGCAGTCGACGTTGAGTTTGCACTCTTACGGAAGGTCAACTTGCGTTCTCTGATCCAACACGCGGCACAGTCCAACATTGCCACCATGGCTCCCACGGCGATATCGCGGATCGCTGGATTTCTCGGCATCACATCACTCAACGCGACTGGACGGGATGCATACATCATCATCACACTGCGATCGTTGAGAATGTTCACGGCCGGCATTCCGTCGCTGATTCTCGCCCTCTTCTTCTCCTCGCTCAAATTTCCGGATTCGAGGATCGGGGTCTTCATGACATTGACATTGCTCGGAGATGTCCTACTGTCATTGCTGCTTACTCTCGTGGCGGACAAAATAGGCAGGAGAAGGATTCTGTTCATGGGTAGTGTGATGATGGCTTGTTCAGGCGTCGCATTTGCGCTGTCAGAAAACTTCTTCATTCTTTTGGTTGCGGCGGTGTTCGGCATCATTTCTGTCACCGGTGCTGACTGTGGTCCTTTTAGGGCTGTCGAGGAGAGCATGTTGAGTGGCCTAACAGACGAGACAACAAGAAGCGATGTCCTCTCGTGGTATGTCACAGCGACAACATTGGCAGGGGCCATTGGCGCAGAAGTCGCAGGGAGAACGGTAAATGCTCTCGAGAAGAGCAGCGGTAATGTGACCAAGGCATACCATGCCCTGTTCTGGGGCTATGCAGCCTTCGGAGTGCTTGGGAGCATCCTTTGTCTGGGTTTGAGTAGCAGATGCGAGGTTGCAGGTGAGAAGCGGGCGGAGATGCAAGAGCGAGGACGTGGTGGGGGCCAGGGCGAAGAGGAAGAAGTGCTACTGGAGGCGATGACACCCAGCACCACGGACGGTTTCGACCAAGACCGCGAGCACGTAGGAAGACCAGCGGGTGTCAGGAATCCGCCATCGCAAAAGAAAGCAAGCTACTTTAGTCAGATCTCGCAGAGTACACGATCCGTCATGTACAAGCTCTGGATCCTCTTAGCTGTTGACAGTCTAGCAGACGGCATGACACCTTACTCCTTGATGAACTACTACGTCGACCAAAAGTTCCACGTCTCAAAGTCTACGCTTGGGGATATTACCTCGGCTTCGCAGTTTCTCTGCGCAGTTGGAGCTATCTTCGCCGGGCCATTGGCCAAACGCATAGGTCTCATCAACACCATGGTCTTCACCCACCTCCCGTCATCGATCGCCAGCGGCTTCATCCCATTACCTTCAAAGGTCGGTTGGACAGTGGGCCTGCTGCTATTCCGAGCTTCTCTCAATAGCATGGATCAAGCACCGCGTACGGCTTTCATCGCGGCAGTCGTGAAGCCTGAAGAGCGTACGGGTGTCATGGGCATCACTAGTATGCTGCGCACGTTAGCCATGAGCGTCGGGCCATCAATCACAGGCTTCCTCTCCGGTAGCGATAACTTCTGGGTGGCCTTCGTGGCTACGAGTATTTGTAGGATCACCTACGATATTGGATTATGGATGTTGTTCGTAAACGTCAAGGTAGAGAAGGACGTTGGAAGAGAAGACGATAGGGATAGCGTCGATGATGATGCTTGGAATGGATTGCTCAGCGACACAGAAAGTGATATCAGTAGCGAGGGGGGAAAGAGCAAGGATCTTGATCGCGAAAGTAGGGTATAACCCAAAGATTGTATTGAGTGAGGTGTTGTTTTGCCTATCGAAGCATGATCAACATCGCCTTTCAAACTAGCATGCAGCCTTCTCTGCTCCGAGCATTGTGCTATCCCGATGATCAGTAAACAATTTGACCTTTACCGCTCTTGCCTGTCTCTTCTGAGCTGGCAAACTGTCTTTAGTACCGAACCTCTCCTTAGTATGATGATCCAAGCCGTGTAACAACGGCACAAGCGCACTGCTTTTCCACACTTGCGTACCAGACGTATGCGTCATCGTCATCGTCGCGAGCAAGAAGATCAGAGTGGCCACGACAGCCGCGATGGGTAAGACAGCAAAACCCCACCGGATGTGGACATAGGACTCTACCGTTATCGACTTGCCGTTCGTATCAACAGCGCCATTGAAGCCGCGAAAAGCGGTTGTCATCGAAACGGCCAAGTCGCTCATCAGCATATTGAGTCCATCGGCGTACTCGTAGTAGTTCCAGTAGAACGCTGTGACAATATCCGTGTCGAAGAAAGTCTCGCCTGATGAGATACCGACTGTGAGATTGACAACTACGGCACGGTCTGGGTCCGTGACACTTCGGGTGAAATCGCTAGTTGTACGGGTAGCGGAGCCGTTGGTAAAGATTGCACTGAACCATCCGCGTATGCTCAAAAGCGCTTCCATGCCGAGCAAGTATGCAGTGTCATCGGACTTGCCAGTGATGTAAACACCATAGTCGGCGGCGGGGTCGGGGGAGCTCATATCGATGACAGTATGGTTGAGAACAGAGTGCGTGACATTTTCTTGGTGCGTACCGTTTGTGACCGATGCGGACAGCGTATTTGCACATGCTTGCAAGCTGCATTGTGATGCCCAAGGGTTCAGAGCGTTGGGTGTATCTTGACGCTCTGTACCCATGAAGATGAGTCGGATTATCGTGGAGTGGGGCATGTCGCCATACGCCGACGGGATGAAGGATGTCATACTGAATACATCGGAGCTCGTGTTGACTGAAAAAAACAGTGTAAGCAATAAGTACCCGCCAATTTACAATTTGCACATGCGAAACTTACGATGAGCTCCTTGTGGTACTTGCCATCCGCATGAGGACATGTTTGGCGATGCACCCAATTCAGGTGGACAGTAGCGCGTCATGAGCGGAGTGATGTCTGTGCACTCATGGCAAATAGCCAGCGTCTCGAAGGGCTCCCAGGTGCAAGTACCACTCTGGCACTTGAATGGTAGTGACGCAGCAGGTCTATTGTTCTCCGCAAACAAGCCGTTGTAGACTGCGGCTTTAAGTGGGAGAATTGGCACGAAACCCGCTAGAAACCTACGTCAACGAATGATATCGAAATGCGCTTGATGCTACTTACTCGTGCTGGTGTTACCCGGTAACGCAGGGGTGAAGTTGAGGGCTCTAGGCATGATGGCGCCAAAGTCACTTTCCACGTTACGGATTTTGTAAGTTGCGATCTGCTGCGCGAAAGGTCCAAGAGCGAGACCTATAACAGCGACGATAGCGCCGAAAGACCCGAGAAATCTGATCAAGCATTCGTCAGTCATCTGTCAACCATGTCTTGAGCTGAGAAACGTACCCTCCTCTGGCAGTCGCCAGCAGTTTGATAGAGCCCCACGAACCACGACTAGCGTCATCGAAGGCCTCCATGTCAGACAATGGAGCCGATGTCTGCTTGAAACGGATCCATTTCGCCTGCGATAGTCCACTCGATAGGCAAACCGACATTGCAGCGTTTGCAAAAGTAGCCAAGAGGGCAATGAGAGCGTTCAAAGTTATGCTGTAAGGCCAGTCTGGCAATGCGTGTCCATTGTATTTGGCTACCACGCCGACAATGGCGGCGACAGCACCCAGCCCGATTGCGACAGCCATGATCTCGAAAGCCCAAGACCGTGCACGGGACGCGCCAGCCTTGCTGTCAGACTTTGTGCTACATACCTCCGACGACGTCACAGCCGTGCTGTTGGTAGACGAGCTCCAATGCGTTACATGCTTCTTGATAGAAGGTGATTTAACAGTCGAACGTGGACTCGTGGGGCTGAAATCGAAGTCTCGTATCTCTTCATAGTTTTGCAGGGTGGACGAAGGCGGAGTGTAGTCCTCGTTGACCGGCGTCACTTCCACATTGTGCTGTAATTTGGGTAGTTGCTGGTACGCCATCGCGAGGCTGAGGCTGAGGCTGAAGCAGGTAGTACCCGAAGATGAGCCCGAATTGCAGTGTTTCACAATGCGGCGAAATGCTCAGGTCTGAGTAACCTAGATATCTATGAACATATAAGGGATTCCCACTTTGGTCAGCCGCTGTATAGTGCCGCTCCTTCCAAGCGTGATAAGCACAGACAACCCGCTCTCAAGAAATGGTAAGCTTATGCCGCCATGCCCACATTTGGGGTTCAGCTCACAGAGTGCCACATCGATGCAGCTTTGTGGTGCAGGCGTACTGGTTCTTATTCGCCAGTCACGCTGCAAAGATTACCTGTCACATGCGAGGCCCTTGTATTAGGCACTGATTGTCTTGGAAACAATGGAGGATGTTGGCGATAAGCAAGGTGGCGGCGCAGTATGTTCATGGCAGATCGGCCAAGAGTGCCTCGTGGAGCAAGCGTAGTATATGATCGGCAAGACCATGCAGAAGCTCTAGATTGCATTCACCTCTCGGTATCCATACTCCGAGCCTGATTCGCATCATTAGCAAGCATCCTCACTATATATAGAGAAGCTACTGCGATGCCCGCACTTTCCGCCCCATCCTCGGTCGACATAGCTTCATCCGGCGTTTGCGATCTTGGCAAGATATGCCTGCAGAAATGCGCTAGAGAACCATTTGATGGTACATGATATGCGAACAGGTCTTATCGCGCGGGGCTCGCGCAATGTCTAGGAAGGATTGCCGTGCACATCGTGGTGGAAAGGGCCTCCCTGGTGGCTGTCGAGGTGGGGCCGAACACCACCTGGAGTCCTGGACACTTGAGCCGGCTTGGCGCAAACGCACAATCAGCACCAACAGACAACCTATTCTGCACTGTTGTTGATGCATGCGACTAGACAGAATAGGCTTAGCTGCACGGGTTCCAGTATGAGGTGTGGACGCAGAGCGAGGGCGGCATGGCCGTGGACAGAGGTATGGTTGCTGTGTCACAGCATGGCAAATGCTCAGAAGTCTTCGTCTTCGTCATCGAAGTCGTCCTCGGCTAAGGTAGCTGCGGCGTTCGTAGCATCCAGGTAGGCTTTGATATGCGCGATGGTTTGCTTCTGAGCCTTCCACCTTATGAGGTTCTGGCTCTCGCGATCCACGACTTCCTTGGACCAAGTCATCGGATTGGGATCAACGTCATGATCGATTTCCATACGACCTAGGCTTAGATTTGGTAACCCGAGCAAGCTCTCCTGCCATTTCTTGAATTGCTCGTCGACCTCCGCCACTTCCCTGTGCATTATAGCTCTTTCCTCTTTCATTGTGTACAATGCATCTCGTTCCCGAGATGACATTGAAGCTTCTCTTCGCAAGAGCATGAGGGTTTGAGCGGCATTGCGCTCGGCAAGTTCCACATCTTCGTAGTCCCGGATAACGGTCATCGAAGGGTATTTGCCCCATAATGGGGTCATGTTGTCCATCTTCCAAATGTCTCTACCGTGCTTATTGTTACGTGGATTCAACTTCGAACGATAGCGCTTACGTCGCATGTCTCGAAGGCCGTCCTCTAGATGGCTGTATGTAAATTCGTCTTCTTCGGTGTCTTTGAGTAACAGGTTCAGAGCTCGTTCTTCTCGAAAAACATTCTTCAGCATACGCTTCCAATTCGTAACCCGGACAATGATGGTGTCTTCGTCTTCGCGCTCCACCAGTTCAATGTCCACGTCTTGCCCGTCTGCCATGCCAAAATCCACAACCGTTGGGCCTACTTTGACACACCAACGTAGCTGCCCGTGCACTGAAGATGGCTTTCGTAAATCAAGACATTGTACGGTATGGTGCCACCACGGATTGTCGGGTTCAATCTCGCCGACACTGCGGACAAACGTGTCATACCAGGACTCCTTGATGCGAAAGTACGCATTTTGTGGATCCCATACGGCTTGGTTGCCCACACGCTCGTCTAGACGTTCGAAAGTCGCATGGACAAATGCCAAGTCCCAGTAATTCTTGCGCATTGAGTTGCTCCATGAGTTGACCTTCTTTCGGTCCGAGATAGCCGATCAACTCCACACGCTGGATGTGATAATAAAGCACAGACGTATCAATCACTTCTTTGAAGGCTTTGCATACGAGCCGGTGGTCCAAGATGTCCGCTGGGTCGGCGTTGTCAAGGACGGTCAAAAGGACTTCGGCAGGTAGAGTCGGTAGCTGAGATGGGGATGCTTTCTGGCTTGCTGCAAGGCTGCTCAAAAGCAACTCGTGGTCTCTGCCCTTCTCTGGTGGTTGAGATGTAGCTGGGAGATTGGACGGATCGCTCTCGTTGTCTTCTTCATCGTCGTCGTCCAGGACTACACGACGCACTCTTTTGTGTGTTGTTGTGGGCGAAACATCGTCAGATCCCGAATCGGAGTCGTCCACAACTAGTGGTCGTTTGTGAGGAGATATTTGAGGAGCTCCAACACTCTCCTTCTCGCTCTCGGACTCCTCACGAACAATCCGGCGATTCCGGGGGCTGACCATCTCGCATGTGACTTGCGTTAGCAGGCAGGGTGGGGTGAATGGCGATGTGCACGAGTTCGGTGCAAACGATATAGGGACGATGTATTTCCAGTGGAATTGAGGTCAGTGGTGATAACACGTTGGTGTTGATGCAAACAGGAGAGCACAAAGAGCAAGGTGGGCCAGCCCGAAGCCGGCGGGGACTGCTGCAGGAACCCGGCGGGTCTATCCAATCACGCATCGAATTGCCGGTGGTGACCGACCCCAGCGTCATCACTTTCCCTGTTTCTCCAAGGTCTGCGCATTTGAGTTGTAGCGCTGTTCCATTCGAACTCGTCTCGTAATAATCCGGTAGCAATGATTTTGAGGCGTACTTTGGTTGGGTATATAATGACGACGCCGATTTGGCGGCGGCAGTAATCGTGTTCCGTCCCCATCTTCAACGTGACGGTTCAGCACACATTATGTGTTCGTCGTGCTTATTAGCGTACGCTCTTTTAGATACCGCGGACACGGCTGAAGTCTAAGGATGGAAGGAATTGGGGTTTGGCTCTTTTGCTGGCAGGGCGCTGTGTCCGCTTGCTTCCGCGACTACACGCGCCGATCGTCGCTGGGACGCCACATCGATCGCGGGTACACGCAGAGCTCTAGCACTAGACATATAAATGTTCGCATCGTGGTCATTTATTATATATAGTGGCATTAGGATAGCGCGTTGGCATTGATTAACCTTTTCCCAAACCCAAAGTGCTCTGATAAACGCTCTAGCAGAAAGTAAACCATGTGTGCTATGACAATAATGGTCTCGTTGTATCTACGAGGCTTGTGTAAATTTCTAGCGCGCTCAGCATTCAAAACCACGAGATTTCTCAACCTTCACCGAGACGACCAGCCGCAGCAGAGATATTCCATCCTTACCAATTGCATACGCACCGAAGCAATGGATCAGGTCCCGCTCTTCATATCCTTTATGAGTCTCTCGAGGACTGTGTCGGTAAATGCCCAAACGGTTGAGCTGTATTGCGCTCCCCAAGCGTATCCAGTATACCACATATTTTTATATCCCTGCAGGGCGTATAAATTTTGAACAAAACCTGCTCGAAACCGCTCAGCTGATCGCGGCCACCAAGGGCGGCTATGATCCGAAAGCGCTTTAAGTTCCGCTTCGCAATCCGCGGCGACAGTTCCGACGTCCTGCATCTGTTTGACGCTTTCCAAGACTATGCTTGTGAAGGCGTCCGGAGATACCGTGTAGTTGGCGCCGAAGACGACTCGGAAGAGGCCTTGGGCTGCAGGCCCTGTCGAGTCTAGACGCAGGCTGTGTGGCCAGTCTTTGATTGCCAGCTGGTCAGCCGGCAGCGCTACTGAAGGCAAGTATGTGATGGAATAGTTTTCGGGTAAGCAAGGCGCCTTCAGGATTCCTACGTAGTTGGACTCTGTGAGCCAGTTTGAAAAGGCAGCCGTTTCCTTGTTGTCGAGATGGAAAGGAGCCAGATTCTCCAGGCTTGGGCCTGCGGTATACAGAATGCGGCGTGCCTTGATGGTGTAGCTGGTGTCGCCCTGTTTGATTGATAGCCTCATCCCGTCCCTGGTTCGCTTCATGTCGGAAACGGTGCTCGATAACAGTACGTCTGGCTTAAGGAGCTCGAGCGCGCGTTCGTAGAGAACACCGTTATTGCCAACAGGTTTGAAAAGTGCGCCGCTCAATAGATCTATAAGCAGTAAGCTAATACCCTCAGCGAGAGAGAGTCTCAATTTATGAACAAGCCTGCAACACCGACTGACCTTTCGTAAGTGAGGCCCCAAAAGCCTGTAAGACGGTGAGCGTCAAAAGATTGCGAATACCTCCATAGCCCACACCAGATATCACCACTATCCGTGGAACGGCGGCTTCCAACTGATGGAGCTTAGCAAAATCACCGAATGGCGTAAGAAGATCTTCAGGGATATCTGCTGGAGATGGAAATTGCCAGAGGCCGGGCTCCAATATATCTCTGTATTTCGACGTGATCGCAAGCCATCGCTGCAATGCTTCGTTGGTTGCATTTGCACTCGGGGCGCTGTAGTCCTCCAGTTCCTCACCCGTCTCGACATCGATATTGAGTGCCGTCAACCTCTGATTAGTGGGGATCACCGTATCAATCCCAAAGCGTGTAAAGAAATCGGTAGCCGGTCCGTAAGGTATGTAGCTTTGGACTCCGTAATCAATCGAAATGTTTGTTTCGGGAATGTGGTAGGTGCTAGTGTGACCACCCAGAATTGGTCTGGGCTCGATGAGCACTATGCTCGTGTTTAGGTCTTCGCGAAGTCGAACGGCGGCGTACGTCCCCGATGCCCCTCCGCCGATTATTGCAACATCTCTGATCAGCTCGATATGATTTGGGGTAATTTTGCCCTCGGCAGTGGCCAATGTGACGCACGAATACAGAGAGCGCGCCAAGATATTGATCAATCGAGTCATGACGAGGATGAGGTGATAGGTAGTAGACTTAAGGAAGGCTCAAAGTAGGCCTTAAGTATGACCCGACGCACAGTATGCAGCAGACGTCTTACCGGCTTCATCAATATTGCTGGTTGAGTGCACAAGAAAGCCGCCGGAACAGCCGCAGTCGAGTATGGAGTAGCTGTAGACGACGCTCATAGGACATCCAGCACAAGGGGGGAGCTTTTAGTCATCGGTGGCGCCTGCGAGATGTACGGCCATGCACCTGGGCAGCTGCAAGGCCTTTCCGAGGAAGCGTGGTCTACGTGTCGTTGGAAGATAGACGCATTAATGCATCCTCGCAGTGGGAAATTCAGGCGCCGCGATCGACCTGTTTCTCAGAGCTTGCTGCACACCTGGGCCAGGCGCAAGGCCGCCGTGACTGAGAAGAGTTGGGATGCGGAAGCAGCAGTGGAGACACCCCCGGGCCCCGGAAGGCTTTCTTGGCACGCTAAAGCCACTCAAGTTAGGTAGCGCTGACGCCGACGCGCTGCTTCCCCACCTGGGCAGTAACAAGCCAACTTCAATGTTGGCACGCGTCGCGACAAGTCAACTTCCTTCATTTACGAGGCATGCCTGCATCTAACATGCATGAGTATTACATTCACGTGACCGCTCCAACAGCTCAGTGCGCCATGCGAGGAACTACCCAGAGCCAACGCTTTCGATCCCGCATGTCGTGCCACGGAAGCTGTCCTCAGATCAGTGGAGACCATCCACAGCACAATCTCGCGACAAAATGGGAAACTTACCGACTTAGCACATACATTGCGTAACGGCTCATTAAGGTCGTTCGATTCGGCTCACCTTTTCCTCTTACGAAGGGGGATGGAGTGACCGGCAACTCCGAGTACACGTACGGGTGACTACATCCGGTCACAGTTGTTGTAATACCATCGCGACCTTCTCGGCTGATATCACAGATGTTTCTGAACACCATCGTATAGTCGCAAGGAAGATCGAATAGTCAACAAATGAACGCAAATCTATCACAGGAAGAAGAGGCCAATGCATGCGTAGTAACATCGCCAGGTTGACAATTATCAGCGATGGGAACATCGCACTCGGAGGGACTTGCGATGGCCAAGAAAAGGTATCACTGTCACTTTATTGTCAGGCACAGCCCTTGCTGGAGAGCAGCAGTGTGACTACGTGGCGGGCCTGGTCAATTTTACCGTCTTCGTCAACTGTTCCGGTGAGCAGCAATAGGGACCTCCTTGAGCTATAAAAGCTTCCTGGTATTGCGGTAAGAACCGTTGACTGCACAGGATAAAGACGCGTTATCCAGGCTTCTCACCTCTTCGAGCACTTTGCGACAGTACTGCTAATGTCTTCTTTAAAGATCATAGCAGGATTGCTGATCTTGGCGATGTCGCCCTCCGCCATTTCGGTCTTCGTATCTCCAATTGCTGTCACGTCTACTCTTTCCGAGACCACTACAGTGTCTAACTCTATATCCTGGTCAAATGCCTCTACCGCGAGCTCGTTCACGGACCCTACACACGCGACGGAGAATCACTCCATCGCTAACACAACCCTGACTTCAATAAAGAGCCAGAAAACAATCACCGAGACGTTGCCCTTGGAACAGGCCACCTCGACTACTCTATCAGGGTCGCCACAATGGACAAATGCTACTGCATCTGGATATGTCAACACTAGCACCATCATTGGACATGCAAGCAGGAGCTCTATCTCTTCAGTATATTCCGGGAATGAAACACTAAGCCTGGTATCTTCGCCACCGGCTATTACAGCTACCAGCACGTTGAATCCCAATTTGTCCAACACGCCCAGCTTGGAAACGCTCTTGACGACTAGAACCACACAACAAGAAGCATCAGGTTCATCATCTACCGAATCAGTGGTGCTCTCGAAGAGTTCGAACCCTACTACACTTGATGAGCACTCCTCTTCGGCTTCGTGGACGTCGCATGCTGGCGAGTCCACGATATCCACGACACCTGCCCAGCCACGAATTACCATGACATCGGTGCAAACTCCAATCGCACCTATCGTCTCATACAATATCAG